TAGATGGATACAGGCAATCTTCTTATGACCAGTTGCTTAGCAATCATTGGAAATTATGACAGATCCATCCAAAGCTTCTTATGATCCAATCTCAAAATTATGGCTGTTATGTTGCCTCCATGGTTGTTTATCCTTATGACTGACTTCAGGGATGATGCAACCCCTCCTCCGCACTTATGTCTCCCACCCATCCCACCATGGCTCACTGGTCTTTGGCCTGCTCACTACTCAACCATCTAAGGCAGGGGTCTCCAACCTTGACAACTTTAAGACTTGTGGACTTCAGCTTTGCTGGCTGAGGAATTCTGGGAGTTGAAGTCCACAAGTCTTAAAGTTGCCAAGGTTGGAGATCCCTGATCTAAGGGAGCCTAAAGTTTGGTAGCAGAAGCTACCAGGAAGTGGGAGTCTGAGAACTCATTATCATTTAACCTTTTCTTTCTTTTTCCCTCTCTCTCACATACACAGACACCCAAGGAAGGAGACAAGGTAGTAAACCATCTACTATGAATCAACTCATTGGACAATTTGACAACCTGGAACTTATTGTATAATCTTGAGGAAATATGTAATTTCTTTTTTCATTTCACATGTAATAAGGAAGCAATAAAAAGAATGCAATATCAATTTATATTGTGTTCACTAGCTGCAAAACAAATAATACAATCATTCTAATAAAAATGACACGATATTTTATGGAATTTTAAAGTGCTACAGTATGATCTGCAAGATAATGTTCTTACAAAATCCCACACAAGGGATCCAACTGCAAGGATTGTACTGGATCTCCTTTTATTGTTTAAGACATGGCTTGTTACTGAAGCATTAGGACCTGAATGTTACAGAAGCCTAATATGTATGTGTTTATATTGTGAGCACGCTATATTGTATAATGGCTTCTCCTTTTCTTCTTTTTCATTGGATTATTTCCAATGGTATCTTAAATTTCCTGGGGGGGGGGGGGGGGAGGGGTTAATAATATTTATTGAAAACTGTTTGTTGGCCACCAGATTTATTTCTTTTATTAATTATTTGTCCTGCCCTTATTACTCTATAAGTAATAAAAGTATTTTTCCAAATTCAAAGATGGCAGAGGAAGTATAATTACATCGCGGGTAGAAAAGTTGCTTCTAAAAGAAAATAAAACGGTAGGAGAAAAGGTGGAGAGAGAAAGATAAGTCATAGAAAAATAAAGAAGACTGGAGAAAGGAAAGGAAGATTGGAGAAATTAAAAGAGAGAGAAGCCCAGATGCACCAAGAGTCCTACCCAAGAGATAAGAGGCCCATCGAAGTGAGGTGAACAGAGAAGCAAACAGACTGCAGGCAGCAAAGCCAACCAGTTGAGAATAAAGAGGTGCACCAGTGAGCGAATGGGACCAGCTGTGGAGCAGGGAGGAAAAACAACTGTGGGTGGAGAGGCCAACTGACCGAGGGCAGTATAATGACTGGCAGAGAACAAAGAGGGGAACCAGTGAGAGAGCAGAGTAGGGAGGAAGGAAAGAGAAGATGAACTTGCTGGGGACCATCCAGATGGTCCTGTTTGCTGGTGGAAGCAGCACCCCTGGAGTGACAGACAAGCAAACATGGCGGCATAGCAAAAAGCAGCAGCAGCAGCAGCGTAGCAGAAAGGAGAGAGAGCCAGCAGCAGCATGGGACAGTGCAGTGAGCTAGAGCCTGAGACCACCACAAAGAGCACCGGGGAAAGAGATGTTGGAGCTGAGTGGAGGACTGAGTGGAGCAGACCACACAGTGGAGCTGAGCTGACCAGAAAGCTGCACGGCAGGCTGAGAGAACTGATCAGAGCAGGGACGAACCTGAAAAGACCTGAACACCGAAGGATAGAAGAGAGCTGACAGAGAAAACAACAAGAGGCCAGAGCAGCAAACAACGGAAGTGAAGGCAACAAATTAAGCCTGAGGTTCCAATAGACAGGGAGGGAAGACCCATGTAGAGAATAAAAATACAGGACAGAAAATAAAAGATAAATAAATAGGCAAAAAATAAGGACAGGAGTGGAAAATTAGAAATCAAGGAAGAATAGGATTAATAAAGATCAATCAAATAAATAAGGCAAATCTTAAATAATAAGATAGGGGAGAACTGGAGCTCAAAAACTTTTTAAAAATATGGGAAAGAAAGGGATAAATAAAACTAACATAATAATAAGCAAATAAAATAATAAATAACAAAGTATAAAAATAAACATGAAAAGGCAGCAAAATAATTTTTTAAAAGATACAAAACTTTTTACCCTTAAAAGAACCAGCAAAAAGAAACAAACTCATGGAATAGGTGACTGATACTATTGTGGTATGCAATATATGTTCCATGTATGTGCTTATTCCCAAAGAATACTCAAATTATACAAACTGATTGAACCAAATAAAGAACAGATAATTCCCAGAGGATTTGACCCTGCTGATAAGCCCTTGGAGGAAGACAAATGGAGGTATGTCACACATAGAAGGAAACACAATGATCAAAGAAAGAAACAACACACATCTAACAAACCCCTGCTGTCCAATCTAACCTAATCAGAAACAGCCCCATTAAAACTGAGCAACCAATTTCTCCCCTTAGTTGAAAATACTCACACCCACAATCTCCCCTTCAAAGAAAATATGCAAACGCTTAGAAAAGAGACATCATCAAATATCCCTAAAATAATCACATTAACAAACTCACCTGGGATCAAAGGTGGTATTCAGCAGGTTCTGATCAGTTCTGGAGAACCGGTAGTAGAAATTTTGAGTAGTTCAGAGAACCGGCAAACCACCTCTGACTGGAGATTTTATAGTATCCTTCCCCCCCACCAAGCCACAGAACTGGTAGTAAAAAAAATTGAATCCCACCACTGCCTGAGATAAACAGAAAAGCACCCCAGACTACACCCCCTAAAAAAGAAAGGAAAGTGTTGGTGATAGGAAATTCTATTCTCAAAGGAACAGAACCAGCCATCTGCAGACTGGACATACAATCTAGGGAGGTATGTTGTCTCCTTGGAGCAAAAATCAAGGATGTGGCTGGGAACCTAACCAAAATAATTAGGTCCACAGATTACTACCCTTTTCTACTACTATTGTAGGGACAAATAACACAAAAAGGACTTGAAAACAATGTTGAGTAATTATGAGCAGCCAGGCAAGAAAGTTAAGGAGTTGGGTGCACAAGTAATTTTTTCATCTGTACTGCTAACGAAAGATCAACATCTAGTAAGAGAACAAAGGATTTTAGAAGTGAACCACTAGCTAAAGGGTTCATGTAGCAAAAAAAACAAAAACTTGGATTCCTGGACCATGGTCTGCACTACCTCCATGATGGGCTTTTGGCAAGGGATGGGCTGCACCTCACAAAGACTGGGAAGAATGTTTTCTGAAAATGACTGGCTCAACTTATCAGGAGGGCTTTAAACTAAAATTGAGGGGGGAGGATGACTAATCTCCAGGACCTAATTCCAAGTAAAAACCCCTAGAAAACAAGTCAAACAATGAGGTAAGGAGGGATGGCAAGGAAGACAAACTCAAATACCAAATAGGAGATATAAGGAAGCATACCCAGAATGAGACATAAAGACCTCAAGTGCCTATATACAAATGCACAAAGTTTGGCTAACAGACAGGTTGAACTTGAACTATTAATACATGAAGGTAGATATTATATAGTTGGAATTACAGAAACTTGGGGGACGAAACCTATGACTGGAACATACTGATAGAAGGATCAAACTGTTCAAAAAAACCAAGACCCTATAAAGAGGAGGTGGAGTTGCCTTGTATGTAAAGGAGTACTACATTGCTACAGAAATGCATGGAACCAAAGACAAAAACCTCCTAGAATGCATATGGATCAATATAAAAGAAAAAAAAAAGAATGATATTGCCATAAGTGAATACTACAGGCCATCCAGCCAAACAGAAAAAATAGATGTACTTTTTGCCTACCAACTAACAAGTATATGTAGGAATCACACTACAATAGTAAAATGGGGGACTTCAATTACTTGACATCAATTGGAAGACTAATTCCTCACCAAGTGAGAAATAGAATAGGTTCCTGACCAACCTAGCTGACAACTTCATTGTTCAAAAAGTAGAGGAGGGAACTAGAGAGACAGCCATACTGGACTTAATTCTTACAAAAAGAAAAGAAGTGATAGAGGGAGTCAAAACTGCAGGAACCTTGGGAGAAAGTGACCATGTCATACTAGAATTCAACCTAACGCAAACCCAAGTTATAAAACATAATGATACCAGAGTCCTAAATTTTAAAAGAGCTGATTTTGACAAACTCAGAGAATTTGGGAAACATTCCTTGGATGAAAATCCTAAAGGGGAAAACAACTCAAGAAGCTTGGGAAATACTGAAAAATGTGATAATAAAAGCCCAGTCCAGCACAATACTACTAAAAAAGAAAAACAAGAAATCCAAGAAGAAACCAGCATGGCTGCACAAAGATCTCCCTGACAAATTGAAAGACAAAAGGGACAAATACAAAAAATGGAAAGAGGGACACACAACTAAGGCAGAGTATCAGCAGATAGCCAGAATCTGCAAAGACAAAGTCAGGAAAGCAAAGGCTCAGAATGAACAAAGACTTGCAACAAAAGTCAAAAATAATTTTAAAAAGTTTCTTCCAACATATAAATAACAAGAAAAAAAGGAAACAGTTAATCACTAAAGAGAGAAGATGGCAAGGAAGTAACAGACAGCAGAGAGAAAGCAGAGCTGCTTAACTCATTCTTTGCATTGGTTTTCATGCAAAAAGAAACTATAGCCCAACCTACCAAAAACAACTGTAAAAAGCAGACTAGAAATAAAAGTTAAAATAAGCAAAAAAATAGTAAGAGAACACTTGTCTGATCTTGATGAATACAAATCACTGGGACCTGATGGAGAGTTCTAAAGGAGACCTGATCTGGGACCTGATCCCAGAGTTCTAAAGGAGCTGGCAGATGTAATCTCAGAACCACTGTACCACATCTTTCAAAAGTCGTGGAGTACTGGGGAACTACAAGAGGACTGAAAAAGAGCTGATGTGGTTCTCATCTTCAAAAAAAAAAAAAAAAAAGTGGGGGGAACAGACCAGGAAACTACAGACCAATCAGCCTAACATCAATACCCAGGAAGTCACTGGAAAAAATAATAAAAAAACATCTGTCAACATCTAGAAATGAGTAAAGTAATAACTAGAAGTCAGCATGGACTTGTTAAAAACAGATCATGCCAAACCAATCTTATTTCATTTGGCAACATAGTGACTAAATTAGTAGACCAGCAAAGTACTGTGGACATAATATACTTAGACTTCACCAAGGCATTTGACAAAGTAGACCACAACCTAAGCTAGAAAAAAGTGGGATAGATAGCATCACCATCAGATGGATTTGTAACCGGCTGACAAAACGTACTCAATGAGTAGTCCTTAATAGTACTACATCTACCTGGAGGGAAGTAAGCAGTGGGGTACCACAAGGCTCTGTTTTAGGCCCAGTACTCTTTAATATCTTCATAAATGACTTAGATGAGGGAATAGAAGGGGAACATATCAAATTTGTAGATGATACTAAGCTGGCAGGAATAGCCAAAACCCTAGATGATAGGCTCAAGATCCAGACTGATCTTGACAGACTGAATACTAGGTCCTATCCTATCTAACAAAATGAAATTCAGCATAGAAAAAAGTAGCCAATGACCAGGGACTACAGAACAAAATCTGAAGAATCCTGGATTCCCTAATTCTTCTTTACATTAACCATATCATTGAAGTGAGGAGACAAGATATTATAGAACTAATGTGTCAGCCTTCAAGATTTTCTCATAATGAACCCATCAGAATATGACTCATGCATACATTGGTGACAACAGAATCTTAGCAAAGTTTTTCTTTTCTTATTTTTAGCATGGCATGAGCTTTTAGCCTTTGTCTTCTAAATTAGGATTCTAATTTTGATAAAGATTTGGTGATCCATTGAGGATGAAGTGTTAAGGGTTATTGGGATACCAGTGACTCTTAGCTAAGAGAATGAGGAAGTGTTTGCATGGGGAATACTAACCAGTGAGATTATCCAGCTTTACCCAAGCTTTTCCAGTAGTGTTTATAGCTCAGGCAATGATTTATGTCTTACTTTGCTGTTACTCCAATATGATGATAAATAATAAAAATGATATTTTATAAATGAAAAGGTGACATACATCATTCAGGGAGAAACACAGTTCTCCTGTCTTGGAAATAGAATAAACGAGGAGCAAAAGACTGAGGAAGTATGCAGTGAAGACTCCTTTGTATTTTCCCATCTGTGGACTTAGAGTATAATCCTAAATCTATCTGCATCTTCAATATGAAGGATGATTGATTGTCAAAACAATCTGCACTCTGTTTTTAGCAAACTTGCTAATGAAACTGAAAAACTCAGGGGGCTTTTTAGTCGGAAAATAAAGCAGAGCAGTCACTCTCTGTTAAAAGATTTGTTCCATTATGTTCCTCTGAATTGCTTCTAAAAACTAGTATTGAACTTTAATCCAGGGGTAGGAAAAAAATGCAGCCACTAGCATTCACTTTGTGGCCTCCAAAGATTCCCAAAGCTGGTGAAAATGTTGGCCCTTTTTCATTGGGAGAGGAACCTGGAAGAGAGACAGCAGTGCCTTAACAATTCAGTGAAATCAACTTCCTTAGATATTACCCTAAATATATTCTAGGAATTTATGAGGCAGATCCTGGCTTCCTAACTATACTAAACTGGCTGTCATCTATGTATCTATGCTATCTATTTCAGACAGTCTTTTTCAACCTTTCTATTGAAAAAAGAAGTGCCCCTTATAAACATTTTAATTGAAGGTCAGCTGTGTTGAATAAAATAGGACTTCTGAGTAAGAGAACATAGAAGAAATGGAGAGAAAATGTCAGGCAATTTTCTCTTTCAAGGAAATCAATGTGGAAAAAAATAGAGGGCTTTTCAAATGAATTTCTTGTATCACTCAATTTTTATTCTCACCAGTTTAAAGTAATTTAAAATTTCTTTTGTTACTACAGAGAGGGGAAGATAGTAAAATAACTAGCAATTTGATCTTCCTTTCCTTCCTTCCTTCCTTCCTCCCTTCCTCTTTCTCCTTTGTGTTATGTGCAAATAGAAGAGAGCTACTAAGAATTGGAGTTAAGATTCTTAACTAGCTATTCCATAGCAATAGCAATAAGACTTATATACCGCTTAAGTTAGGCGCATAAGTTAGTTAGTTAAGTTTGTTAAGCAAGTAAATATTCAGATTTATAAATGAGTTCCCAACTGCTCTATCTTGTTGCAAGAATAGATTTTTGGGGACATGTTTGCCTCATTATCTGCAAACAACTGAAGTGAGTTCTGACATTATAGTGACCTTTCTGAAATTCTTCAGAATCTCAGGTTTGGGAAACAATGTATTGTTCCCCTGCTTCTTGTTTGTGCCAGCATTTCTATTTGTTCTGTCAGCAATTATCATGAGTAAGCCAGGATCTAAGAAGAGTGGCTTTCAGTTCCTCTGAGTGATCAAAGTCTTTTCCTAGAGAAGTGTGGGTTTTCTTGGCTCTCCTATCTAATAAACCCAAAACCTGGCATTTAAAACGACAGCTTCAAATTCCTTCTGGGAAAAAGAAGGATGGAAGAGTTAGTGGCAGAATATAAAGCAGATGAAAACATAGGTGAACTTGAGTTCATTTACTTTTGATGAGAAAGAAATAGTGCAGTTTTTCCACATGCAAGCCTAAAAATCTTTGGCAGGTCACATGCCTTCAGCAGCCCTGGGTATTATGCTGCAGCTCTTTTAGACAATTTTCCTGTTTTGCTTACGAAGCCACTTTGCTAGACAGATTTGCTTCTGTATGTATCAGAACAAGGCCCAGGGAGTGAATAGCGCAGCACATGCATTATTGATTATTTCAGATGTATATTAATAGATAAGCCTGTAGCAGTACTTCACACTGTGTCCTGTCCTGATGCATTAGAATCAATGGATAACAGAAGTTTATTCTTAGAGAAATGCTGTATATGTATGATTTTCAATGGTAGTGAATTCAGGTGTATATCGCACACATATTGTACATAGTAAAGTATAAAACAAGTAAAGTAATAACTAGAAGTCAGCATGGGTTTGTTAAAAACAGATTATGCCAAACGAATCTTATTTCATTCTTCAACATAGTGTCTAAATTAGTAGATTAAGTGAGATACTGTGGACAAAGTACACTTAGACTTCAGCAAGGCATTCGACAAAATAGACCACAACCTATTTCTTGGTAAGCTAGAAAAAAGTGGGATAGATAGCATCACCACCAGATGAATTTGTAACTGGCTGACAAACCATACTCAATCAGTAGTCCTTAATGGTACTACATCTACTTAGAGGGAAGTAAACAGTGGGGTACCACAAGGTCTTAAGCAGGGGTGGGATGCTACTGGTTCTGCCCGGCTCTATAGAACCGGTAGCTCTGAACAGCAGCAGACACCAAACCGGTTCTGTAACATCGGTTGGTCTTAAGCCCAGTACTCTTCAATATCTTCATAAATGACTTAGATGAGGGAATAGAAGGGGAACGTATCAAATTTGTGGCTGATACTAAGCTGGCAGGAATAGCCAACACCCTAGATCAGAGGTGTCATGTTGCCCCAGCGGCATCACGTGATGTATCAAGACTTTTTTCTCCTTTGCTAAACTGGACATTGACATGGCCAAAGCGTGTCACATCTGGCCCATGGGCCAGGAGTTTGACAGCCCTGCCCTAGATGATAGGCTCAAAATCTAGATGGATCTTGACAGACTTGAACACTGGGCCCTATCTAACAAAATGAAATTCAATGTAGAGAAAAGTAAAGTCTTACACTTAGGCAAGAAAAATCAAAAGTACACATATAGACTGAGTGAAACCAGGCTTAATAGCAGTAACTGTGAGAGGGATTTTGGAATCTTAGTGGACAACCAATTACATATGAGGCAACATATGCGGTGGCAGTCAAAAAAGCCAATGCAATCCTAAGTTGCATTAACAGAGGGATACAATCAAGATCAAGATCAAGTAGGTACTAACACCACTCTATAAAGCCTTAGTAAGACCACACCTAGGATACTGCATCCAGTTTTGGTCACCACATTATAAAAAAAGATGTTGAGACTCTAGAAAGAATACAGAGAACAGCAACCTGAAATGATTAGGTGACTGGAGACTAAAACTTATGAAGAATGGTTACAGGAACTGGGCATGACTAGTCTAGTGAAGAGAAGGACCAGGGATTTGAAGAGGAATGTTTTGAAAACCAAACAAAGTAAAAGGAAACAGCAGAAAAGGGAATTACAGAAGGCAGCTTTAAAGAGGGAGGGGGATAAAAACTGGAGTAAGAACAGGAGGGGAAAAATGAAGGAAAAAAGGTGTAATAAGAACCAGGAAATAAAGAAATATGGAAATCAAACAAAAATGAAAAGAAATTGTTTATTCAAAAGACATAGAGATAATGATTAGATAAGAATTAAGAAAGGGGAATTCTGCAAGGTGATGAGGTGTAGTATAAATGTATTTAAATTATAAATTATTTAGAAAGTAGGAAAATATAGATTTTTAAAATGGAAAGAATGGAACTGATATTTCCTTGTTATTAGAATATCTGTTTTTTTTAAATTAAACTGTAATGAGATTAATATCAGTTTTTATGATTAATTTAATAGATTAATTTTTTTGAAATTATAAATGATTTGATGTAATTGAAGGGGAAAGTGCCATGCGGAATCTGATTTAAAAGGTATATATGTATTATGTAGTTTATTTTTTATTTATTTTTATTTATTTATTTATTTTTGTCAATTGCTTACAAGATAATAGGTATAAGTAAAAACATAGTTATGAATACATGGATACATATAAGAAAAATAAAAAAAATAAAAGAAACGATAGGACAGGGAAAGTAGGCAAGTTATGCACGCCACCTACAGACGTCTTAGGAAAGGGGTGAGGTCAATAGTAGACAGTCTAAGATTAAAGTTTTTGGGGTTTGGGGAAGAAACCACAGAGCCAGGTAGAGT